GGGGGTAAAGGAATTTTTATTTTTCCCGAATTTTTTTTGGGGAATATAAATTTTTTTTGTAAAAAAGATTATTTTACTTAGTAAAAATTTTCATTTTTTACTGAAGGGGATCTTTTCGCCGCCCTCGGGCCTTGGAAAAGGGAGGCTCCTAAACCGGGGTGGGGGTTCGAATCCCGCCGGGGGTAAATTCTCCAAAAAGGACGCATTTTTCATTATATTACCTTGTAAAGAAAAATTTTTAATTAAATTTTAAATGTGACAATTTGACAAATAATCTGCGATTATTATTGAGAAGTATTCCAAACGGAGCGGGCGGAGGAAGAGACATATTTTACACTTTTCTCTCTTTACCGAATTTATTTTGGAATATCAATTTTTTGTCAAAAAGATTATTTTATACTTGAGTGAAACATTATCATTTTTTACTGAACGGGATCTTGTTCGCCGCCCTCGTGGCCTAATGGATAAGGCATTGGTCTCCTAAACCGGGGATTGCGGGTTCGAATCCGCCGAGGGTAAGAGATTCTCCAGAAAGGCACGCATTTTGTCATTCATATTACCCTGTCACAGAAAACGTTTTTAATTCAATTTAAATGTGACAATTTGACAAATAATCTGCGATTATTATTGAGAAGTATCCCAAACGGAGCAGGTGGAGGAAGAGAATATTTACACTTTTCTTTACCGAATTTATTTTTGGAATATCAATTTTTTGTCAAAAAGATTATTTTATACTTGAGTGAAACATTATCATTTTTTACTGAACGGGATCTATGTTCGCCGCCCTCGTGGCCTAATGGATAAGGCATCGGTCTCCTAAACCGGGGATTGCGGGTTCGAATCCCGCCGAGGGTAAGAGATCCTCCAGAAAGGCACGCATTTTGTCATTCATATTACCCTGTCACAGAAAATTTTTTTAAATTTCAATTAAATGTGACAATTTGACAAATAATCTGCAATTATTATTGAGAAGTATCCCAAACGGAGCAGGTGGAGGAAGAGAATATTTTACACTTTTCTTTACCGAATTTTTTTTGGGAATTTTCAATTTTTGTCAAAAGTTATTTTACTTGAGTGAAAAAATTATCATTTTTACTGAAGGGATCTTTTTCGCCGCCCTCCGTGGCCTAATGGATAAGGCATCGGTTATAAACCGGGGTTTTGCGGGTTCGAATCCGCCGAGGGTAAGAGTTTCTCCAAAAGGCACGCATTTTTCATTCATATTACCTGTCACAGACAAACGTTTTTAATTCAATTTAAATGTGAAAATTTGACAAATAATCTGCAATTATTATTGAAAGTATCCCAAAGGGAAGCGGGTTGGAGGAAGAGAAATTTTTACACTTTTTTTTTTACCGAATTTTTTTTTTAATATCAATTTTTTTGTAAAAAAGGTTTTTTATACTTGGTGAAACTTTATTTTTTTTACTAAAGGGGATCTTTTCGCCGCCCTCGTGGCCTAATGGAAAATTGGGTCCCCAAAACCGGGATTGCGGGTTCGAATCCCGCCGAGGGTAAGGGTCCCAAAAAGGCACGCATTTTTCTTTTTATATTACCCTGTCACAGACAAACGTTTTTAATTCAATTTAAATGTGACAATTTGACAAATAATCACAAATTATGGAAGTATCCCAAACAAGCGGTGGAGAAGAGAATTTTACACTTTTTTTTTTTACCGAATTTTTTTTTTGAATATCAATTTTTGTCAAAAAGATTTTTTATACTTAGTGAAACATTATCTTTTTTACTGAACGGGATCTATATTCGCGCCCTCGTGGCTAATGGATAAGGCATCGGTCCCCCTAAACCGGGGATTCGGGTTCGAATCCCGCCGAGGGTAGAGATTCTCCCAGAAAGGCACGCATTTTTTTCATTTATATTCCATGTCACGGAGAAACGTTTTAATTCCAATTAAATGTGACAATTTGACAAATAATCTGCGATTATTTTTGAGAAGTATCCCAAACGGAGCAGGTGGAGGAAGAGACATATTTTACACTTTTCTTTCCCGAATTTATTTTGGAATATCAATTTTTTTGTCAAAAAGATTCTTTTATACTTGAGTGAAACATTATATTTTCGCGGGATCTTTATTCGCCGCCTCTGGCCTAATGGATGGCATCGGTCTCCTAAACCGGTTGCGGGTTCAAACCCCGCCGAGGGAAAGAGTTCTCCAGAAGGCACGCATTTTTCATTTATATTACCATGTCACACAGAAACTTTTTTAATTCAATTTAAATGTGACAATTTGGACAAAAAATCTGCATTTTTGGAAAGTATCCCAAACGGAAGCAGGTGGAGGAAGAGACATATTTTACCTTTTTCTTTCCCGATTTATTTTTGAATATCAATTTTTGTCAAAAGATTTTTTATACTTGAGTGAAACATTATCTTTTTTTTACTGAACGGGATCTATTTCGCGCCTCGTGGCCTAATGGATAAGGCATCGGTCTCCTAAACCGGGATTGCGGGTTGAACCCGCCGAGGTAGAGATTCTCCAAAGGCACGCATTTTGTCATTTATATTACCATGTCACAGAGAAACGTTTTTAATTAAATTTTAAATGTGAAATTTGACAAATAATCTGCATTTGGGGAAAAATATCCCAAACGGAGCAGGTGGAGGAAGAGAATTTTACACTTTTCTTTACCGAATTTTTTTTTGAATATCAATTTTTTGTAAAAAAGATTATTTTATACTTGAGTGAAACATTATATTTTTTAACGGGATCTATTTCGCGCCCCGTGCCTAATGGATAAAGGCATCGGTCTCCTAAACCGGGATTGCGGGTTTTGAACCCCGCCGGGGGTAGAGTTCCAGAAAGGCACCATTTGTCATTTATATTACCTGTCACAGAAACGTTTTTAATTCAATTTAAATGTGACAATTTGACAAATAATCGCGATTATTGTGAAGTATCCCAAACGAGGTGGAGGAAGAATTTTTTACCTTTTCTTTACCGAATTTATTTTTGGAATATCAATTTTTTGTCAAAAAGATTATTTTATACTTGAGTGAAACATTATCATTTTTACTGAACGGATCTTGTATTCGCCGCCCTCTTGGCCTAATGGAAGGCATGGTCTCTAAACCGGGGATTGGGGGTTTTTGAACCCCGCCGAGGGTAAGGATTCTCAGAATGCACGCATTTTGTCATTATATTCCCCCATGTCACAAGAAACTTTTTTAATTCAATTTAAATGTGACAATTTGACAAATAATCTGCGATTATTATTGAAAAAGTATCCCAAAGGGAAGCAGGTGGAGGAAGAGACATATTTACACTTTTCTTACCGAATTTATTTTTGGAATATCAATTTTTTGTCAAAAAGATTATTTTATACTTGAGTGAAACATTATCATTTTTTACTGAACGGGTCTATAATCGCCGCCCTCGTGGCCTAATGGATAAGGCATCGGTCTCCTAAACCGGGATTGCGGGTTCGAATCCCGCCGAGGGTAAGAGTTCTCCGAAAGGCACGCATTTTGTCTATATTCCCCCGCCCCAGAAACTTTTTTAATTCAATTTAAATGTGACAATTTGACAAATAATCTGCGATTATTATTGAGAAGTATCCCAAACGGAGCAGGTGGAGGAAGAGAAATATTTTACACTTTTCTTTTTTTACCGAATTTATTTTTGGAATATCAATTTTTTGTCAAAAAGATTATTTTATACTTGAGTGAAACATTATCATTTTTTACTGAACGGGATCTATTCGCGCCCCCTCTTGGCCAATGGATAAGGCATCGGTCTCCTAAACCGGGGATTGCGGGTTCGAATCCCGCCGAGGGTAAAGTTCTCCAAAGGCACGCATTTTTCATTATATTACCCTGTCACAGAGAAACGTTTTAATTCAATTTAAATGTGACAATTTGACAAATAATCTGCAATTATTATTGAGAAGTATCCCAAACGGAGCAGGTGGAGGAAGAGAAATATTTACACTTTTTCTTTACCGAATTTATTTTGGAATATCAATTTTTTGTCAAAAGATTTTTATACTTGAGGAAAACATTATCATTTTATAAATTTTTGCGCCTCGTGGCTAATGGTAAGGCACGGTCCCCAACCGGGATTGGGGTCGAATCCCGCCGGGTAAGTTCCAGAAAGACGCATTTTTCATTATATACCTGTCACAGAAACGAATCAATTTAAATTGAATTTGACGCAGGGATCCAACGGCGGTGGAGGAAGGAATTTTACACTTTTCTTTACCAATTTATTTTGAATTCAATTTTTGCAAAAGATTTTATATTGGTGAAAATTCATTTTTATACATTTTCCGCCCTCTGGCCTAATGATAGGCTTGGTCTCTAAAGGGATTGGGTCGAATCCCGCGAGGTAAGTTCCGAAACCCATTTTGTCTTATATCCCATCACAGAGAACGTTTTAATCAATTTAATGACATTGACAAATAATCTGGATATTAGAAGTTCCCAAACGAAGCGGGGAGAGAAAATTTTCTTTACCGAATTTATTTTGAATATCAATTTTTGTCAAAGTTTTTAACTTGAGAAAATATATTTTGAAATCAATTGCGCCTTGGAATGGAAGCATCGGTCTCTAACGGGATTGCGGTTGAACCGCCGAAGAAGTCCAAAAGGCCGCTTTGTTTATATTACCTGTCACAGAAAGTTTATCATTAATTAA